TAATAATTATGTGGAAGAGGATATTTGTTTGTTTTAAATTTTGTTTGTAAGCCGCCCAGAGTAGAGTCATTGAATCTAGATGGGTGGGGTAAAAGCTGGAAAATAAATAAATAAATAAAATAACATTTCAGCATAAGCTACATCTTGTGTATAAGATTCCACCGGATATATACAACCATGAAAGGCATAAGAGCCAGTACTCATGCCTACCTGGCTGCCACAACAATGATGCACTTCTCAGATTAAACTGCTTTTATGTTCAAACAAGAGATTTCCACAGCAGAACATATTCCATTTCTCTAAAGCATGACTTCAGAACTTTGTTCTGCATCACTGTTTCAGCTGGGACACAATCATAATTAAAAGATGCACCTACAATTTCTGAGTACCTAACCCTCTGCAAGGAATTATAAAACAAGGAAATTGACTTCTAACAGATTGCTAGACTGGTTATATTACTCCTTAGCAAGGATGAGCAAAATGCAGCCTACGGCCCAGGGGATATTCTGTGAAGCTCCTCAAGTCTCCAGAGACCTTTCTGAGCTCCTACTCTCTCTTAGATGCCCCAAAACCTCCAGGATGCATGAACTATGTGGTGCGGCCTCCAGAACCTCTATGGGTGTCTACGTCTTCCTTTAAATGACAGCTTTTAAATGCTTTTAGAATCTACGGCATATGCTTACTCCAGAATAATCTTAGCATTATACCCACATATACGGTTTGTGCACATTTCTTCTTCTTTAGCAATACGTACCTACCCATTATGTAATGGCACCTATGATTTATGTGTGAGACTGCTTCTAAAGTTTGGTTATCGCCTTTTCTGCAAGATCTTTCTGCCAGATCAGCTGGAGGACTATGTACCAGATTTGCAGGAGAAAAACAGCAGTGTCTCAGGTCTTGCAGGACGTCTACCTCAAGGCTTATTTATTTTTATCTCAGATCTCTTCATAACATGGCAGTGGCAGCTGCTAAGAAAAAAGCCTTAATACTGTGTTTTCCCGAAAATAAGACAGGGTCTTATATATTAATTTTTGTTCCAAAAATGCATTAGGGATTATTTTCAGGGGATGCTATATTTTTTTTTCATATACAGCTATCTACATTTATTCAAATACAGTCCTGTCATCTTCTGGTTGCTGCACAATGGTGGAGGGCAGGGTTTCACTCAACTGGGGCTTATTTTGGGGTAGGGCTTAAAATTACAAGCATCCTGAAAAAATCATACTAGGGCTTATTTTCAGGTTAGGTCTTATTTTCAGGGAAACAGGGTAGTAAGAGGAATGGGCTTGGACCACAACTTTTACAATGGAAGTTGGAAAAAACAACTGTTATTTGGTCACAGATTCTGCAGGGCACTGCAGCAGGAAATGCTTTTTACCTTTGAAAAACAACAGCTTTATCCTGGAAAGCTAGCATGTCAGGGAAAAGGAGTTCAAATGTAATCTTCTCCCTAAATTACTGGTTTTCTGTGTGCTGGGTTGTGTGGTTTCTTTTGTTCTTCTTGTTGTTTTCGTTTGCTTTGGTTATTTTAAAAGGGAGGTTAGTATTTAACTATGCAATCTCCCATGTGCATTCCTAAATGGTAAAATCCTAGGACTGATCCATGCAAAGCTAATGCGAAATCAGCATAGCTTCTGAAACAGGAATACATGAATCTGTTCAGCATTTGCAATCCTGTCTCCCACTGCCCCAGATACCACTTACTATTCTGGCACAGGGAAGGTTATCTGTTTACCAAGAGAAATCCCACAGAACATAGTTAACTCCTGCATCATCATCTTCATCTCAGAACTGCACAGTTGGAAGGGACCTTATGAATCATTGAGTCCAGGTCCAATCAAGAAGGCACAGTGGGGAATTGAACTTCCAACCTCTGGCTCCCCAGGCAGATACCTAAACCACTGGGCTATTCCAACTGGAGAATTTTAATGTGAAAGTTGTGATGCTTTAAGAGTTCCAAAGTATGGACAAAATTTCTCTACTTGCGGTAGAGCCTTGTCTTTGCCCCTGATAGCACCACAGAAACAAACAATAAAATACTACATTTATTTCTATTATCACGGGAATCTCTGCACATGCATATCTCCTCACACAATGGAAATGGGATGGTTTGTTTGAATATGAGCAATGTATGCACAACAGGGTGCACACGAACTTCTGGAAACGGTTAAAATGTTTCCGTATCTCATGACCTAACCTAAAATTTTAGAGCCTGACCCTGGGTCCACAAACCAAATCACTCTTGAGTGTGCAATTCTCCGTAAAACTATGTGCCGTGTCAGTTACTCTGTATGTTTTTGTACTGCATTCTAAATGGGAAGGTAAGCAAAATATTTAATATAACGTTGATGCGCACAATGAATGTCCGGACCACAGTCTAAGTATTTGGAGGTCAAAGGTACAGGGCCTCCATGTAATTCAGTCTAATCTTTGCAGACCCTAAAAGCCTGTAATTCATGTTACAGAATATGGTAAGTGCATTCTAACGTATTCCATGTAGAGTTCCTTGGCATCCAAATCACTTTGCTGCCTTGGGTCATGGGAAACTGCAAGTGTCAGAAGAGGGCCGAACAAACATAAACTTTAGAAACCTCTTGGATAAATTCAGTGGTGGAACAAAAAAAAATTATTAAACCAGCTTCAATTTGATTGAATTCACAGCAGAGAAAACTGGGAGAATGCCAACATTCCACACAAGAATAAAATGGGGACAAGACTTCAATACTGGATTAGGAGTGATTTAGTGAAGAACATTATAAACAAAGCTGTAAAAAAATTGGAACGAAATATCTTTAATTCAAATTAAAAATGATTGCATGACAGTTAATTCACTATTAAAATCATAGTGGAAACAAAATCACCACCAACACTACCAACAAAAGCAGGAGCAGCAACAACAGCAAAAATTTTCATAAGAATAAAAGCTTTCACACCCATGCGTGCGCACACCCACACCCACTCACAAGAATTCGGACTGGATGACTCACAGAAGTATTAACACAGTTAGGACATTTCCACAATGGCTACAGCGTTGAAATTTGCCCAATTTATTCTAATTCCTATGCAAAACTCAAACCCACTATTTTTGCTTCTGATAATCAAAGTGCATGATACCTTCTGCACAATAACAGCAAGCAATCCAGCAGAGAAGAAACCAATATACGACTACAATGAAATACGGGTGTGCATGTGTGGGAGTTCCCTGTTCACAAAGCTGATTTACCCTTGGATAGAGGATGGGCGACCCCCAGCCACGAATGTGAATTAAAAAAAAAACAAGTCAAGCCGTACATAGGATACAGCAGACGAGTCTTGGAATACCTTCCCCACATACTTTTTAAAAATAGCAACCAAACAAAGGGAGAAGGAAAATTTCCAACGGTAGCCACAAATATATGTAAATATATTGCTGCTAAAAGTAAGGTCTGCATCCAGCTATACACAATAAAATGTGTGGCAATCTTATATATAAAATTAAATCATAAGGGAATGCTGTATTTCATATTTTTCTGTACATGTGAAGTCACTGTGACCAACATGATGATTACAAACAAGCCATTATAAAAAGGCTATGTTGTAAGTGTGTGGTAATAAACAAAACAAATTGCATTCACAAGCACTGCTGTTGTCTACCAGGGCTCGCTCAAATGTATCAAACCCACTCAATCTATTTGACTAAAGGCAGTTGTCAAGGCAATAAGTTGTAGGGTTTAATTTAGGAAAATATACCCATCAGCTCTTCGTGAGTTCTCAGTACTAATGTGATATCAGAGAATTTAAGCAGCCGAGGGGGCAATGTGACCCCACTTCCATCTCGGGACCAACATGACATCAAAAGAGGTGAGCTTGCCACTGCTAATGTTGATAGTGAACACAACAACATAAAACTTGCATTTCAAACAGCAAAAAAAAAAAAAAAAAAAAAAACTTGCATTTCAAACAGCAAAGAAAGCCTTTGCCCTCATATGGCTAGGAATGTGTTACTGTCCAAAAACATGTGACAGGTAGCATGCTGGAAAACATAATGACTGAGATCATGATGGAAAGTGTTACTTTCAAAAACATGTGACAGGTAGCACACTGGAAAACATAATGACTGAGATCATGATGTTACATCAATCAGCTTGAGCCACTGAAAGACAGAAAAAATTCAATGGTTTTGCAATGATTTTGCTTTAGGAGTCTCCAGAGAAAGGGAATTGTAGAGCTGCCAAAGAAAATATTTCTATATGTGCTCCTGCTGTCCAAAGAGAAGCACATGGAAAGCATTAGGACTTGATCTTGAAACTTGCAAAAGGTCACTGGAGAGAAAGATATCCCTTTTTGATATGTTATACCCTGAGTGTTTTAAAATATTTAATACCCCGTCTTATTTTTAAGGTGTTCCCAGCAGCTTACAGATAAATCAATAACCTAACAATTAAAAATGTAATTCCAATCTACAAAATAAAGTAAAAAAACCCCAAAAGCAGCAATAAGCAAAATACAATGATAAAAAATATTTTGGATGTTTTAAAAATAAAGACCGAATTAAAACACCAGCTTTAAAATTACATTCTGAATCCCTTCTTAAAAGAGGAGGATCTTAATAAGATTTTTAAGGAGATGAGATGATCTGCCTTATTAGGAAATTCCAGAACCAAAGTAAAGCTCTCCAAAATACATTATTAATACAGATGCTAAGTACCATGAGAAACAAGAAAAAGACCCAGTGTGACATCATAGACCAGTGGTCAAACAATAAAAAGGTTCATGCAGCAGCACCTCCTGATATTTCTCTCCACCCCCAGAAAGATCGGTGCTGTTGTACCACCATGCCCACTGCTCTATCTCTACAAGCCATTCCTGAAAGATTCCATGGTTGATGATATCAAATATCAGAAAGTACCAAGAGAAATAACTGGAGTATAGTCCTTCACACAGATTATTTATCAAGACGACCAACTCCCATGAAACAATACTGGGATGATATGCGAATTTCAAAAAAATAAGATCACCTGATATACTCCACTGTGTAGTACTGAATTGGGGAACTTCCTTCACTGGGTCCTGGTCTCCATGACAAAGCAACTTCTGAGTCAGAAACAACAATTACTTGAGGCTGATAAGGTGGATCTGGAGGCATACATTTATCTAAAACAAAAGAAGTACACGTTTCTAGTAAATTATATGAAATGGATACCAACAGTCACTGGGAGCTAGATGTTTTATCAAAAGTAGCGACACTGCCCATCTTACTTTGAACCAGAATAAAGGACATACAGATCAGGTCCAAAACCAAATACAATTGTATTTCAGAATTCAAAAACACCACACAAATCTTTATCTTCATCCCAGTTTGGCACTGACTGAAACAGAGTGGAGGTATATCTATATCTATATCTATATCTACAACTTCAAAAATTAGTTTGGCACTGACTGAAAGAGTGGAGGTATATCTACATCTACATCTACATCTACATCTACATCTATCTATCTATCTATCTATCTATCTATCTATCTATCTATCTATCTATCTATCTATCTATCTATCTATCTATCTATCTATCTATCTATCTATCTATCTATCTATCGAACCTAGAATCTTGGTTCTTTACTACCCAGGAAAGAACTTTATTGGAAAGTTCACCTGCCACTAACCTTCTTCGGCACCAGCAGTTCAGTGAACTATAGTACTGCCCCTTTCCACAATTCAAATCCCTGGCCATCGTTTTCACAAATGCCTGCTGGGATATGAAAGTTCCCTAGTGAGTGTTGCTCTACTTTGTCAGTGAACAGTGACTTCTTGCTCTACCCTACAGTCCCTAACGTAGTCATGTTGCACATTTGCCCAAAGACAGTGCACTTGCCTAATCAAAAGCCTTATTCGTGCATTCCCACACATCTGGGAGAGCTCATAGAGGTAACCACATGTGGGCCTTCCTCCACTCTATCCTGTCATGTTGGCCTTGGCAACTTCTTTAGGGGAATTTACCCACATTTTCCTGAATGCAAGTTGAGCTTTCTTCACTATTGGGAGTCAAGATCTTCTGCAGGTCTTGGTGCTAAATTTGCTGAACATGGTAAGCTCAGGAGGGCAGTTCAGAGTCACACACAGGTAAATGTTTTTTTTTTCATTTTCTTGTGAGGAGTAAACTAATTTTAAAAAAACAGGGATCTACATACTGTACTTGTTTTGGGTTACTGTTTAGGGAGAAACACGGGATACAAACAAAACTAAACAAAATAAATGGAAGCTGTGAAGCCTGGCCAGTGTGTGGACCTCTCATGACTTTTAAAAAAAATATGCAAGAGCAGGACTAATTTTGTCTGTAAAAGCATAAGTTCTGATTGAGAGAAGGGCCCTCTGGAAGATCTTAAAAAGCAGATGGAGTTGGGTGTCACCAGCACACTGGTGGTACCAGACCACAAAATTCTGGACAGTCTTTCAGGTTTTTCATATATATGGGAAATAGTACGAGGAATCATGGAACCCTGAGACACTCTACAGGCTAATGGTCAAGGCGTTGAACAGCAGTCCCCCAGCACCACTAAAATTCAGAAAATGGCATCCCACAAGGGAAAATCTCCGAAGCGGACTCCTTTTTTCATCAGTTAACCACTTCTCGCCCGAACGCAAAGCAATTGTCAGAGCTGTTTTTCAACAAGTGTGAATGGTAGTGAGCAGAAGAAGGTATCTTATAGACCATCTTGACTGCTGACATTGGTGTTATCAACATTCAGGCTGCCCTTCGCTATGTAAAACCTGTCATCCGTTTTCCTGCTGGCAACACAAGCAAGATATTGTGCAGCCATATTGAGCCATCTCCTGGCTTTTTGAATTGAGGGTACAATATCTCACATTCATAAACTGGAGTTGTTTTTAAAGAATTGAATATAAACTTACATGTAGGTGGTACGTAAGTCACATGATGGTCATATTTACAACAGCCCCAAGCAACAATCATCCCGGTAGCAAGCTATTAAACTTCAATAAAGCTAAAGATCTTATAACTGTAAAATGGTTTTATACGAAATACCAGCTCCAGGCATACAGTGCATTTATGAAGCATTAATAAGCTGGATGCATAACTGAGAGTTATTATTGTTTGGGTGTATGTTAATAGATGCTGCTCTTCTAAGTTCCATATGATTGTTTGTATATTTTTGTTTTCAGCTGAAGGAGGAATAGTCAGATTGGAATCCACTAGCAGAACTCTGGATGATTTGCAATATATCAGTCAGGATTTTTAACTCTCGACTATCTGACAACAGGAAGAATTAAAAAGACCTTTAACCTCCATTATGATGCTGAAAAAGAATATTCTTTCTCTTGGGGAAAATCAGGAGTGGATGTGTTTGTGAACTTGGTTCTGGTACTGACTGTACTTCTCTGGGATGAGCATGAACACTGTTTGTTCATTCTTAGCAGAAACTCATCCACCCAGGCCAGTTAATTCCCCCCCGGTCGCAGCAGTTAGACATGACAGCTCTAGTGGAAAAACAAAGCAGAGTTTGCAACCATAAAGTTCACCCCCCTCTAAGGTTCAGAACCGGTCTTTAAAACTCTTACAACCTGATGCATAAGCATACTTACTCATTGTTTTCTCTCAGAGCAATCCTATGTATGTTTACTCATAAATCAAACATAGCAGTTTAGAACTTCCTGCACCCAAGTAAGTATGTATAGTATTACAATCTAAATATTTGTGTGGGACTCAGACAGAGTTAGATCCTACACCTTAAGATAATATCAGTTGCAGTGAGGTATTTCGTGAGATGATCAGATTTGAAAACAAGAGTGACAGTCTTTTAGAGCTATAGCTTTGGGCTAAAAATGTTTAAAACAAAGGAAATCTCTAAATGCTCTCATAAAGATTTCTCGAGAGCATTCATAAAGGTGTTGGGCAAATATACTGGCTTGTAATTGTCCTTCTGAATCTTTAATATCACACCAACTCTTTTGTTATTAAAACCATGTCTTGCCTTCTGATCAGAGGCACTGAGAAATCCCTCCCACCCTCACTTGTGAGGTACTGAAATTTAGTTGCTGTTGCTATGCATTTGTCAAAATGTGAAATTTTATGTGTACAGAGTGTTATAATTAAAGGGGGAGGTAGAAAAAGCAAAGTAAAAATGAAAGTTCTTTTGGAAACAAGGTTTAGTAAACAGCTGAAGTTTACTAAGGTCATTGCAAAACAATTAGCCGGGTCTGGGAGCAAAATCATTATAGAATAATATTGCTAATAGCTGAACATGTTTAAAATGAAAGTACTGTATATGAAGTGAAGAATTGAAAATGTTCTCCATACTACAGTATTCTGGTTGTGCAGAAACCTGGTGCACCAGATGCTTTGTGTTGCAAGCCTTTACTCCTCCAGGCTTTACAGGATACGGAGGTTAATAATTATAGTGGCAGCCTGCCAGATTCTGAGTTACAGGCCCTTGGAGTTACAGAAAGTGCAGGGACAATTCCTATTAAACTTCTTCCTTGGTACACCAGGCCCTGCAGAAAGGATTGTTAATTGCTGATAAAGGAGAGATAAGGTATAAATAAAGGCCAGAAAAGATAGCCAGGGAAGGAACAAACATTAAACTCATAAAAACAAGACAGAAACACAATTATCATGGATTTTCCACCATAGATTTCAAGCTTGTTTGGCTAGGCGAGCATTCAGAATTACTTTATTTGTGATATCAATATGCTTAGAGGCCAAGAAAGCCTCTCTCTCTCTTTTTTTTTTAAAAAAGGTATTTCTGTTCTTAAGACCTTTAGTGTTGTGGAGACATGCTCTCTGCTTTTTTATTGTGTCTTTTTAGGCTATAAGCTCTTCCATGTTTAGAATGCAATTAAAACATTGTTTTTGGCATTTTTATTATTATTTTCATGCTACTGCATTTTAGACTTAATTCTGACTTAAGTATTTGCCTGCAACTTAAGTTTAGTTTTCATATATATTGTAAGCATTTGTGCCTACAGTTTTTCATAGCTTTGAGACTTATGGATGCTTTCAGACTTTGAAGTATTTTTGTGCTTACGAATCACAGAAGCAATGCAGAAATAAATCTTGTCAAATTAGACGTGGTGATGTTGCCTGATATCACTGCAACAATGAAAAGAGTTATAAACCTTGACACTTAGATGAATTTTGATAGGATTGAAATGGTGAAGCAAATGTGTAAATGCAATACATGCAATAGAGAAACATCCATCAGGCTTCTGATTTTGCCCTAGAGGTCTACACATTTCTGTAGGACTCTTAGGAAGATATTCAGGTGTCAGACTCTTGGACCTGACATATTTGCCCAGCACAAAATGCAATATATTCGTGAAGGCTTTCACGGCCGGACCCCACTCAGTATCCATAAGGGAAAGCTCTTCACCCAGTTTTTACCTTGTGACAAAGTTGTAATATTTCTGGGCATGCTGGGTCTACCTTTTCCTGCCCAGCCATAAGCTCCGACACTCACACGGTGGAGGGTACCTGGTTTCAAATCTCCAATAACAACTTCCTGTTTTGAAACAAAATTGGGGAGAAGTGGATAAGATGTACACACACACACACACACTAACAAGAAGCTCAGATTGATAAACACATATACATATATAGTATATGCAAACATGCCTTTTCCTGCCCAGCCATAAGCTCCAACACTCACACGGTGGAGGGTACCTGGCTTCAAATCTCCAATAACGACTTCCTGTTTTGAAACAAAATTGGAGAGAAGTGGAGAAGATGTACACACACACACACACACACACAAATAGAAATGAAATGGCAGAAAGGCACATGGCTGTTTTAATTTTAGACTATTGTTTTATGTGGCATAGCAAGGGTTGTGGGGGGAACCTCTTGGGCTAGTGCAGACCTGGGCAAAGTGCGGCCTGTCAGATTGATAAACACATATACATATATAGTATATGCAAACATATATACATATTTAGATAGACTGATAGATCGATCGATAGAAATTAAATGGCAGAAAGACATATGGCTGTTTTAATTTTAGGCTATTGTTTTATGTGGCATAGCAGGGGTTGTGGGGGGAACCTCTTGGACTAGTGCAGACCTGGACAAAGTGCGGCCCACGGGCCACATACGGCCCGCGAGCCGCTCATGTCCGGCCCACGGACAATTTTGGACATCAAAACCACTTATAGCTTTTTGTCTAAAGTTGATCAGTTGGTTATCTTTAACATACTGCAAAAAAACTCTTTAGTATTTGTGTAGACTGACAAGTTTAAAATAAAAACAATCATAACATCACTATTTCATTTTATTTTTAAGTAAAGTTGGTTCGGTCCCCGAACACAGTTCAGATTTTTCATGTGCCCCCCCCCATATAAATTAATTGCCCACCCCTGGGCAAGTGGATATAGGATCCTGGAAATTGCAATCTAATAGATCTGTAAGGTGCCTGGCTGGGGAAGATAAAACTGTCTACAGGCAAAAGTCTAGCACTGGCCCCTGTAGATCCTTCCACTGCTTTATACAAAACACACAGGAGGGATATGATGAGTATCAAAGGTGGTTGCCCTTTCAGACCTTGTGGCAGGACATGAACAACTGCCTAAAATTTCCTGGAGTTTTCATGAGAGCCAGATACTCTGTTGAAAACTCTCCAATACTACCTCGGCAATTTTCTGCCCAGAGTATTAGTTATGCAGTACAGGAAAGACAATGCTAGGTACCATTTAGTCTAGGTACCATTTAGAGCACTGCCAGCTTGTGTTTTCATATACACAACGCTGCGCAGGGTCTGTTTGTTCTTTTGCATCTATTCAGTGCTGCTGATGAATCAAGACTGCTAATGGATGAGATCGCTTCTGAGCACGGATGATTACAGGCCCTGCTTGGTTGCTGCAAAGCAAATTTCAAGCAACCAGGGTATAATGATCTCTATCTTCCTATCTACATGGCCACGGCATGTGACTGTCTGCCCTGCCCTTTCTGACTTTCCCAACAGTTTGCTCATAATAAATTGTCTCAGTCAAATAATTGTGATGCAGGGCTGTAGGAGATAGTTAACCCTTTTGTGTGACATGTCCAGCCTGCATGGTTATGGAGGTTATATGCAATCACTGAAAGGGCTAATCCCGGACCATATTAAAACTGGATCGCAGTCTACAGCAACTGTGAGAAATAAAGATAAATAAATCTTGCACAGAATATTGTCAGATCCTGTGCAGGATAAGGCACATTGGCCAGTGCCCTGTTGCCAGTCCCAATTTAAGGACAGTCTTGTAGGGCAATACTTATATAAATGCCATTAAGTCACTAGGTCTGCTTTAATTGGGACTGACTATATAGGATACTAGCCATAAAAACTTTATTTCTCACAGTTGCTGTAGACTGCGATCCAGTTTTAATATGGTCCGGGATTAGCCCTTTCAGTGATTGCATATAACCTCCATAACCATGCAGGCTGGACATGTCACACAAAAGGGTTAACTATCTCCTACAGCCCTGCATCACAATTATTTGACTGAGACAATTTATTATGAGCAAACTGTTGGGAAAGTCAGAAAGGGCAGGGCAGACAGTCACACACCGTAGCCATGTAGATAGAAAGACAGAGATCATTATATACTCTGGTTGCTTGAAATTTGCTTTGCAGCAACCAAGCAGGGCCTGTAATCATCCGTGCTCAGAAGCGATCTCATCCATTAGCAGTCTTGATTCACCAGCAGCACTGAATAGATGCAAAAGAACAAACAAAACCTGTGCAGCATTGTGCATCTGAAAACACAAGCTGGCAGTGCTCTAAACGGTACCTAGACTAAATGGTACTTAGCATTGTCTTTCCTGTACTGTATAATACTCTGGGCAAAAAATTGCCGAGCATGTAGTATTGGAGGGTTTTCAGCAGAGTATCTGGCTCTCATGAAAACGCCAGGAAATTTTAGGCAGTTGTTCATGTCCTGCCGCAAGGTCTGAAAGGGCAACCATCTTTGATACTCATCATATCCCTACTGTGTGTTTTGTATAAAGCAGTGGAAGGATCTACAGGGGCCAGTGCTAGACTTTTGCCTGTAGACAGTTTTATCTTCCCCAGCCAGGCACCTTACAGATCTATTAGATTGCAATTTCCAGGATCCTATATCCATTCTCATTTCAATCTATTCATTTCCCCCACCCCTCTGGCAAATGATGGTTCCTGGAGGCAGAGAATTGCCCTTGGTCCCCAGGTGTTAGTTCATTCATTTCAGATGGCAATGGATCAGGAGAATGGCCTCCGGTGAAGGCTGAAAAGTTGACCTTCCAACCAAGGCATAAGTCACTTAGCTCCTTTTAAAGGAGGGGTGGGGAGAATGGCGTCCATAGGGTGCTATGAAACCCCTGCACACCACTCTTGATCAAAGAAAAATTGGCCTAAAATCTCTCCATTTCCATTTTTGCAGTTAAACATTCCAGCTTTTCACAAAATACTAGAATTGGAAATCCAGACAATTCTCATTTCAATCAATTCATTTCCCCCACCCCTCTGGCAAATGATGGGTCCTGGAGGCAGAAAATTGCCCTTGGTTCCCAGGTGTTAGTTCATTCATTCATTCATTCATTCATTCATTCATTCATTCATTCAAAATATTGTTATCCAGCCTTTCCTCTTCCAAAAGACCTAAGGTGGCTTACATAAATTAAAAGGCCATATTTGAAGCTAAAAACAATAAGTATACAAGCACTATAAAGGATCAAACAAATACCACTGTAAGAAACAGCAAACAAAAGCAATAACCTTTCAAAGCTATAAGGCACCACATTCCATTTAAGAACTCCACTCTGGCAGCCAGTCACCGAGAGAAAGCTTGTCTGAAGAAAAAGGTCTTTCCCTACTTGTGGAAGGACAGGAAGGATTTCTCAGTTCTACTTTAAGTTAAGGAAATGGAGAATGGAATCTCACTGCACTGTCCATCTGCACCATCTATCTTCCTCCTCTTACCCCCAAAACAAAAGTTATACGGAGCAGAGTTCCAAAATATATATGATGATATCACATCTTGCATTTCCCTTGCATCATATAGCTAAAGCAAGCATGGGGGGCAAAGGCCGCCGCCCCAGATGTTGTTGGACTCCAAATCCCATTGATGGCAACAAGCATGGACAACGTTGAGGAATGATAGGTGTTGCAGTCTAACAATATCTGCAACATCTTGAAGACCACTGGATTCATCATCCTTGGCTAGAAGCAGCAGCAACAGATGGTTGCTAATTTTGGGGCTGAGCCCAGGATCAGCACCATGTTGAGTTTTAATGTCTGATACTTAGTTTCAGAGAGTTTCAGTGAGATTCTAAGAACAATTTTATATCTCTTCATTTTACTTTTTAAGTGCAGAGAGAGGAAATGGGATTTGGGGAGGAATTATTGGAGAGATTTTGCTGCAGTGTGAAGCCTGCTTAGTTGTGACTAAACCTCCTATTTATAAGTGCCAGAAAAAGCAAAGGGTTAAGTTTAGAAATATTACAGAAAAGCATGTTTTGCAAATAAACCATTTCAAGACACACATTATCTAGTACTTTTCTCTAGGATGTTCCCTCCAGGGAGAATGACAAATCTGACCTACTGTATACCAATCTTTCAGCACTGTTTAGACATCTGCATTTAAGGGCTTTTTGTGTGTGTTGACAACAAGGTTGTATCACATCCTCCCACAATCCTCAAAAGGCAACTAAGCGTGTGATTTAGTTTAATTCTAAATCCACAATAAAGAGATCCTTACAATAATTGTGATGTGAAACTCTAACCTCATCAGCCCACACAAAGAAAGGATGGAAACAGATTTTCTTTATTCTGAACTTTTCCCCAGAACAAAGTTTTGAATTTTAGCTTAATCATCAGAAGGATGAAAAGTTGATAGTACCATCGATGGTTGAGGTGAACGTTATGTGCTCCAATTTTCATTATTTCTCAAAGACTGCCTCTATTTTCCACTATGTATCTGACAATTGCACAGGTACTGCAAAAGGCAATTTTGTGGGCTAGGGTGTGTGATGAAATTATGGTCCTGTAACTGGTGCCATTCGATGACTGATGCTTTCTATACCTGGCGAAACCCAGAGCAATAATGCACGATGCGATGAGCAAGCTGTGTCGTGAATGGTAGTGTAATGTCTAACAAAGCCTTGGAGAGTCTGTTGGTGTTGCTACATTTGTTGTTATTTCTACAGCTGTGATGCTTTATGCCTGTGAAAACCTAGGATGACAACAGCACAGTAGCTGCTTGGCACTGCAAAATCATAGGGTTTGTCTAAGGGCTTGGAGATTTTTCCCCCCCTAAGTACAGAGCTTATGCATCTTTAAAATAAACAAATGGCTGAAATGACATCAAAGCAGAAACATCAACGTTTCAGTTGTGACAAGGAAGAGTCATTCTGTATGCTTTTTCTGTCTTCTCCCCTCCCCTTCTTGTTTCCAGATACTTAAAATCTTACTCACAGTACATGGAAAAAAACAACAACAGCAACTCCAACACAGCTGGAAACAGCATTTCCAGGTGCAGCGAGCCAGTCATTTGTCTGCCAAATTTCACTGTGTTGTTGTCTCCCTCCTACCATTGTATGCATACCAAGGCCCAGTCACAGCTTCTTCGTTTACACCCCCAAGACATTGGGGGCGAGGTAGAGAAATGAAAATTGCTTTCTGAACCAACGCCAGAGCTGAAGCTCTCAAGGTCATACGTTAACTACTAGTGTAATACTGATTCTTTTTAAATCATTCTTCACTCATGGTGGGGGGGGAGAGGAAAACAACAAACTTTTTTTTATCCTGTTTGCTGGTCATTTACCAGGGCTGCAACTACATAGTTGCTGAGAAGAGAGACTGCACATACAATGAGAAAAGACACGGCAAAATCTGCCCTCCTCCAAGCCATGATTTCAATCCCCTTTCTTTACTGCTTAAGAAAGGACACCAGCTCTGTAGCTTGCGACAAGAGAAAGTACAACTTCTCTATTTGGAATACAGTGGTGCCTCGCTTTACGACAGCTTGCGAGATGAGAAAGCACAACTTCTCTATTTGGAGTACAGTGGTGCCTCGCTTTATGACTGCCCCGCATTATGACGAATCTGCTTTACGATGATCCTTGTGCGATCACAAAACGATGGTCTAAATGGGGGAATTTTGCTTTGCGATGATCGGTTCGGGAACCAATTCTTCACAAAATGACGTTTTTCTAACAGCTGATCGGCGGTTTCAAAATGGCCGCCAGGTAAATAAAATGGCTCCCCGCTGTGTTTAGGGACAGATTCCTCGCTATACAGGCAGCGAAAATGGCCACCATATGGAGGATCTTCGCTGGATGGTGAGTTTTAAGCCCATTGGAGTTTTAAGTCCAAGGCTTTCAATGCATTTCAATGGGGTTTTTATTTTTGCTTTACGATGTTTCCGTTTAACGGCGATTTTCCTGGAATGGATTATCGCTGTTAAACAAGCCACCACAGTATACTTCATTCAATTTGGCTGTATTTACATTTTTCTTTCTTACACCAGCTAGAATGAATCTTCAGCTTTATTATTATTTAAGATGCCTGCTGTTCCTCTTTCCATCTGTTCTCTGTCTCATAACGAATTTGTGTGTTTTACTTAAGGATGCTGGAGATAGACCTTAGCAAATATTGGATGCTACGTTCTTAAAAATTAGGCATTCGCTATTGGCTACATTCACATGTGACAGTAAACCAGGTTATGGCCTGATGAATTCTTGATTGTTTTGTCAATCAAGTTCGGTACAGTTTGGCGGATCAGGCCTGCAGATGTTGCCCCACTCAGAGGAGGAGGGGGGCAGGGAACCCTGTGGTGCAGCTTTTGATGGGGCATCCATGGGAAGAGGTGTGGTATGGAATCCAGATTGCCCATGCAACACCTGTGGGCCTGATCCTGGCTGCAATCAAGAATGAAAGCGAGAATGATTAACAGCAAGTGCAAGTTACACCATTTCCTTTCTGCCAGCATAACTATGCAAGAGGATTTTGGCCATCAATGTTCAAACCACTGATCACTCTGTTACACCACCCCTCCACTCCAAAAAGTGAAACATCCTCTGGTCTTGTTAGTTAGAAGCAGAAGCAGGGGATCGCGACATCTAAAAGAGCTTCAAAAGGAGGCGGGGCCATGTATCAGTAAAAAAAGCGTTGACAGGAAGAGAATGAAATACTGTAAAGAACAGATAGCAAAACTCTTGTCTCCAGTGACAATGGTATTTAGCTGACTGGCTCCGACTGGGATTGCCAACCTGAAGAGACAGATTGCTTCAACCATAAATGCTAAACTAGTTTGCTTCCACACTGGCAGCATTGTCTCTCAGCCTGCTCTTTTCTATTCTGGGTGCTCTTTGTCTTACTCCCTTTTCTGCTGTGCCATAAAGACTAGGGTGGCCAGATGCAAAAGAGGGGAAGGCTCTTCTTGTCTTTAAACATAAACATGTCAAATGTCTTCAGCTAAGTCCCATCTGCACCAACAGAGAGGGGTGGGATGGAAAGCACATATAATGGTGCTGGTGGGAAAGGCAACTCTGCAAAGTTCAGAGACCCGTTTTCTGCCTGCACAGATCATTTTAAAAATGTTGAAACCCCAATAAAACAAGAAACACCTGAAAGGTCACTTCCAAGTTTTGAAAAGATGGATATTTGAGGATTTCCATACAGAAGGCCCCTGTGAATGGTTGAAAATGTGAAAAGCCACTCCTGGAAAATTCTAGAACCTGTTATTCACACTCCTGTCCAGAAATGGACGGCAAGACAGAACAGCTGGAAGTCACAAAAATAGTCCCAGTGCAGGAGTTTGCCAACTTCTGCCATATGAATGTACACAACTGCCTTATCAGCAGTTTGTGCAGCCCACAACTGACTACTTCAATTCACAAAGGTCTCAACCTGAAATTATTCACAACCCCAATAACCGGACTTCTATTTAAAAACAAACAAACCTAAGGTCCCAGGCAGTGAATCTGAAAGTTTATGTACAGAAATGCTTGAGGATTTTGGTCTGGCTGCATTTTTAAGCAAACCATCCTGATTCACATTTCCCACACGGATGGACGGTGCGGAAGCGGCGCCGAAGGAAGTGGCGCGGCCGGGCAAGCACCGATGCCACCCAACAGGCTCCTCTGGGGATGGGCAGTGGGGTGGTGGTGGTGGCCCAGCACCGGGAGACTGATCCTGAAGCGGGCTTCCGTCATGGTGGCGCCTGCCCCCCTCCACCGCAATCCACCTCTCCAGGAGCTGGAAGGAGAGGCTCCTCCTGGCCGGGGCGCTCCGGCCACTCGCCCGCCGCCATGGCCATCCCCGCCACCACTGTCTCAGCTGCAGCCGGGGACTGAGTGCAATTAGAGGAGGCTTCAGGCTGCCTGGTAAGGTAAAGTGCTGCTTTGGGGGGGGTATTTTTTAGGGGACTGGAACGGATTAATCACATTCCCATGCATTCCTATGGAAAATGGTGCTTCAATTTACGACCATTTTGAGTTAAGTCTTTCTTCTGGAACGGATTATGGTCGTAAATCAAGGCACCACTGTACCAATGCAGTAGCATAAGACCCACTGTGCTAGTGGTGGCACATCATGACCGTTAGCAGTGGAGTGGGCTCTCACACAGTTTTGCATAAGGAGTTGTGCAACCACTGTGCACAGTTGTGTAATCCAGCACAACTGTGCTTGGAAGGATCTTCATCCCAGCAATGTTATGTTGGATTTAGGTCAATGACTCAAAAAACATGACAAAATAGCTTTTAAAGGACACATTTTGGGTTAAAATAGATTTAGTGTAATGTGTGTTTTATGGGGGGAATGTTTAGAATATGCTTTTAAAAATATATATATGAATAAATCAATGTAGAAAAACAGCTAAAAAGATATATACAGTATATGAAATGTATATCTATGAAGTGTGCTGGTTTATACTCTGCCCCATAGTGCTTAAAGCTCTCTCTCGCTAGTTTACAATTTAGACATGCGAGCTACACATCAATGGACCTGCACATTGACGTATCTGTGAAAAAACAAGTACTCCACTAATGAGACACAGATCTAGCTTGCAGTAGTGACAAGCCATATTGCACTCTTAACCTGTGCTTTCCAGGTTGTGACCTGGCAACGGTGAACAAGACAAGGGCTGATCATTTAACATTTGTATATGGTAATGATCAGCACTAATGAGGTGCAATGAGAAGTGGTGGTAATTGTGTTTATGTACCCTGATTCTTCTCTGTTGTTCTACCCCTCAAAAACACCTATATTATTCCACATGACCCATTCAACTGAATTCCTGCAGTGGATTTGTGTGCATTTTCCCTTTTAAACAAACAAAACAAAATTTTCCAAAAGGGGTTACTTACAAAAATTGCTTGCCCATCCACTTGACCCTGGTAAAAGAAAAAAAGAGGAAAATTTTAAGAAAGAAGCAAAATAAAGATGTTTTCTTTAAGTATTACAGTGGTGCCTCGCAAGACGATGTTAATTCGTTCCGCAAAAAACGTCATCTTGTGAAAACATCGTCTTGTGAAACACGGTTCCCCATTGGAATGCATTGAAATTCATTTAATGTGCTCCAATGAGGAAAAATCGTCATCTTGCGAAAATCGTCCATAGAAAACATCGTCTTGCGAAGTGCCACAGCGATCGCAAAAACCAATCGTCTTGCAGATTAATCGTCTTGTGAGGCAATTGTCTTGCGAGGCACCACTGTATTTAATTCTTTCTGCCATGGTATGGGTAGACATTTTTTTTAATGACTAAGCTCTCAAAAAAGTAGCATATACGCGTATTAATCGTCCTGTGAGGCAATCGTCTTGCGAGGCACCACTGTGTTTATTTCTTTCTGCCATGGTATGGATAGCCTTTTTTATGACTAAGCTCTCAAAAAAGTAGCATATACAAATTGAGGAAACAATACCATATTAAGTAGATCACTAGACTAAATTAGTCTAGCAGACTACACTCAAGTTGCATGAGGTGGATAAGAAAACTGCTTTGGAACATATAGCAACTATACATCCACCAGTGCAAACCTCTGTACAAACTGCCACCAGTTCTGAAGCTGAAGCTTATATTTCTGGATACACATCAGGTCACCAAATTTGTGTACAAGAAGAAATACAAGAACCAACTTCAATTAAACACCAGCACTTCTTTGGAGATTTACACCACTAGACTTATGCTGGCTGGTATTGTCCATCTGAGTCATATTAGAAGGATACAGGGAGATATAAAGGAAATAAATAAATTAAGCAGCCAAAAGAAAAAAAGAAATGATGAAATACTGGGTCATTGTTCTCAATTCATTTGCTTGTTCACATGCATGGAAGGACGGGAGCCTCACATTTATAAGCCAGCAAACAGGAGCATCAGAGAGTGCTATTTTTAAAATTCTACCCACAAAGATCAAGTCCTATTAACACAGAGAGCAAACAGCATTACAGGTTAAACCTCTGTTTTCACCCACTTACTGCTTTATTTCTGGGCAAAAAAAGTGAGCAGATTTGCACATGGAACAGTTCCGATTAGAACCACATGCCACAGGTCCCTGGGAATGATCTATACAGTCATTCATGAGAGCAAACAGCATTACAGGTTAAAGCTCTGTTTTCACCCACTTACTGTTTTATTTCTGGGCAAAAAAGTGAGCAGGTTTGCACATGGAACAGTTCTGATTAGAACCACATGCCACAAGTCCCTGGGAATGATCTATACAGTCATTCACTTAGTCATACATTTTTCCACACGCATGCAGATGTCTCATTAATTAAAATGCCACATATAAACTCCACACGTGGAAGGGAGCCCTGTTGTTTTCCACTTGGACAACAAGGCTCCCTGAATTTCAGGTTTAAAAACTCCACACGTGGAACGGAGCCCTGTTGTTTTCCCCTTGGACAACAAGGCTCCCTGAATTTCAGGGTCTCATACTGATTTATTTGAACAGGAAAACAAAATGGAAGGAGGGCAAAAGGAAATTTAAGACACTCATTTTTATAAAGGGTCACCACCACCTTCTGGCGTGGTTTCAACAAAGAGCTCAGTCATTGCCAGTCCTGGATTCCCCAAATTCTATTGGAAGGCAGCTCTTAGGATCCCTAACCATTGGCCATACTGCCTGAGGCTTCTGGAAGTTGAAGTCGAACAACATTTCAGGGCCCAAATTTTGGAGCCATTGGCTTGGTCTTCATAAGTTCTGCCTTTCTTTTGGCGAATACAGTAAGCAGCTGAATTTCGGCTTACTGTACAGCAGCTACACTCATACAGTACCCAGTGTGATGGATGGAAAGGGTGAGAAATCTGTCTCTGAATCCCTACTTTTGCATTGAAACTCACTGGAGGTAGGCTAGTGAAACCTCTCCTTGTAGCTTGCTTACCTTAAAAGCCCTAGTAGGGTTGCTATAATTCGGTTCTGACTTGATATCACATACGAGGCACACAAAGTCACAGGAGTGAGAAATAAAATGGCAACCCCAATTGATCTACTGGCATAGTGATAGAAAAAAGAATATAATAACAAATAGAGTGAACTTCTGGTTGTTGTGGGTTTTTTGGGCTCTTTGGCTATGTTCTGAAGGTTGTTCTTCCTAAAGTTTCTCCAATCTCTGTGGCCAGCATCTTCAGAGGACAGCACTCTGTGCTTTGGTGTAGTTTGCTTGGGAGTGGAGTATTTATGGCTGTGGGATCCACTTTTGTCCTTTTCAAGAGATGGGTAATTATGGTGATCAGTGTGTTTTTGTTGTGGGTGTATTGTTGTGATACGGTGAAGAGATTATCTGTTACTGTGATTGATGGGTGTTGTTAGCTCGTCTTTTGTGTGTAGTGATCACCGGTCCTTGTGGCTGGGTAGAGTTCGTTGACCTTTTGCACGCTGTATTTTTCAGTGCTGGGAGCCAAGTTTTGTTGAATTTTAAACTTTCCTCTTTTTTGTTGAAGTTATGCTAGTGTTTGCGGATTTCAATGACTTCCCTGTGCAGTCTAACGTAATGATTGCTAGTGTTGTCCAGTATTTCAGTATATTGAAATAGAATTTCATGGCCAGCTTGTTTTAGGGCATGTTCAGCTACTGCCGATTTTTTTGGTTGGTTTCGTCTGCAGTGTCTCTCATGTTCTTTGATTCTGGTGTGGATGCTTCGTTTTGTGTCCCATTAAATTGCCTCCTATGAAAGAAAGCTCTCCAAATGTCCTATCTTAAACAGCCCTGCTTAGCTGTAGCTGTACTAAAGCTTGTAGCTTCTTTTAGAGACTCAATCCATCATGTATTTGGTTTTCCTCTTTTCCTCTTGCCTTCTCATGCTGTGCCCACAATACAAAAAGTTGCCATTTTGCCACAACACTCTAGAGGCACACAATGATATTGTTCTATATCTTAGCATGACCAGGGTGAAAAGAAAATCTTTCTGTACTTCATATTGAAAGTCACAGCACGTACCAGTTCAGCTTTAGACAATTTCAGACCATGATTATGTTTATGAAAGGAATCATGGATCTGTCAGTTTTGGTTTTGCTCAATATCTTACTTTAAATGAAGCTCATTACACGTATGGGGCCCTTTAAAAAAATTGAATAAGGATGTATATACCTTAATGCAAACAAAAACATTTGTGATTCCAGCCACATCAAAGCAGAAACCATGTGTCATGACTTGCACATGACAAACTCTAGCAATTTACATGCTCATAAGGTCAGATACTCACTGTGCTGAGCATGTCCAGGCTGAGAGGAACATCATGGGACCGCTGTCTAATTGGTTTATCAGCCTTGACCTCGGCGTAATAGACCTTGAGAAGGTGAGAGTTAAGATAGATAAAGCAATAAGAATGCAAATGCATTTGCATGCTACAGGTACAAACAGATTATTCTTGTCGGAAGTAGCAATCAAAATGATCAATACTAAAATAAACATTTATTTGCATATATATCACACAGGTACTCTCAAACACACACAAAAGCAATCCTACACACATTGACTTGAGAGGAAACATTATTGAACTCAGTGGGACTTGTTCTCCATATACACGTATAGAATTGCACTAGGTATATTTCTGCAAAACTTTCATGCTCAAACTTGGGCTTGGACTACAACTACAACTCCCAAACTTCCTGACCACTGCCTATGTTGGCTACGGTTTCTGGGAATTGTAGAAGGTCCCTTGACCTCTACAATTCCCAGCAACAACTGAATTAGGCCATAACGTAAAGTGAGCAACTGCAAAAACAAAACAAAACAAAGACAGAAAAAAAAACCAACCAGAATCTTTCCTTTTCATTACCATGCAGAAACCTTGTAGAAATGTGAAAAAGTGCATCCATCAAAAATCCCTCTTCCACAAAACTATTAAATGTAAGGGAGTGTTATCCTTTAATCCTAGGGTCACATTACCATACAGACGTGCAGGGTGGGAGAATGTCAGATTTATAACACAGCACTGCAACCATCTACATTTTATCAAAATATCCACTGAAGTACTGGGGGAAGGGGGAGAGTGAAAACAAAATCTAAAATAGTGAAGTATCTCTACCCAGCCAGGAGACCTTACAAAGGTTAATGATGGGAAATATGTTTTCTGACTCTGTAAAAACAACTGCACAGGTAAAATGGAAAGGTGAAAGGAAACCAAGAAGTACTGAACAGAAAAAAAATCGAGCTGCTGGATCCTTTAATACAGTGGTCCCCAACCTTGGCAGATGTTCTTGGACTACAACTCCCAGAAGCCTTCACCACCACCTCTACTGGTCAGGATTTCTGGGAGCTGAAGTCCAAGAACATCTGGAGGCCCAAGGTTTGGGAGCACTGCTTTAACAGACGGCAGTGACATCAATCCTTACATGTCAAAAGATATGGACAGTCCGGATTTCCACACCACCTTAAATGTCTGAAACAGAACCTGCTGCCCTACAACTTATCTGCTTGGAATTTGACAGTATTTAAGATCTGCAGAAGAGTTTGAACTGCTAGACCATTAAGGACTTCAAATATAGTAGTGGCAGAAGCCAGATCTGTTGTGCTTCTTCTTAGTGACAGAAATCTCATTCAGAAATGACAACTCTAGACAAAATTGTATATGAATAGGTATACTATTTTTCATATGGTTTCTTGCAAGACAGCAAGGAAGTATTTTCTGTATTTTTTTAAATATAGTATTTGATTTTGAAAGTACTGGAAGCATGGTGACATCTAGTACGTAGCAGTCCTAATATCTTCAAAGCTAGCACTCCAGAGAACCTTCAAGGAACATCAATTACTTTCCTGCAGCAATAAATGCTATGGCTGCAAAAACAGTGACACTCCACAGTCAAGTGGACAGCAGGAATATCCGGACGGACCGCCACAGGAGTAGTTACCGCTGTTCCAGCTGTCCAGACTGTGGCTGGCAACTTTCAAACACCTCACCACGGAATTACAATTGCCTGAATGTTCAGTTTTCAAAGTTGTTACCGTGTTGGTCTGTGCAAGCATTTCAACAAGAAACACAAAACAAAACAAAACAATGTGGCACCTTGAAGAATAACTGCCATGTTTTAATGTAAGCTTTTACGGAACATGTCCACTTTGTCAGATATAGAAGTAAGAAGACAGAGACTACATGGTAAAACATTCATGCAAGGCCCTCCGCCAGTGGTTCTCAACTGTGGGTAACCCAGGTGTTCTTGGACTGCTACTCCCAGAACCCCCAGCCAGGACAGCTGGTGGTGAAGGCTTCTGGGAATTGCAGTCCAGCAACACCTGGGTTACCCAAGTTTGGGAACCACTGCTTTAAGATAAAGCGACAATGGTGTTTAGTTGCATTTTACAGGGGGATCATTTTCTATTACAAGTCATTTGACATCATCAATATTTTATTATGAGTACACTCTGAATAGTTCAAGTTATGGAAGAGTAATAAAATGCACTTTTACTTCTAGAACTGAAATTTATAGCCACCTTAGCGTCACTTTTATGCTGGCTTTTATTTACTTTTACTTAACCGTGGGCCACATTTTTTTCCTATACCCACTGGAAGCATGTTCTGCTAACACTCATAGCATTGAAACAAATGTACTTTCCTTCAGAGTGTAGCCTTAATCATCTACCAACAACACACATCTAGCTCTAACTTCAACACTAATTCAGGACTAGACTGTTCACTGAAAGATGTATCAGGCACCTTTTTTTAAAAAACAAATCCACTCCAAATCATAGTGTTGTAAAGGCTTTGTAATTGTGTCTATTTATTTAAAAATGTTTTTAAAGGAAGTGAAGCATTCTTCTGATAAGGAATGGAAATGGTTTTGTATGTTCCATGGAAATCAGCCACCAGTACTCTGCACAGGAAGATAGCAGCTAGGCGGAAGCTGGCTTCGTGTTATGTTACAAGGACTAGTCAATCATCAGACTACACAACCAGCTTCTCCTGGAAAAGGGAAGAAATACTGTAGCAGCCCCTATATTTTAGACAAGCTGGAAACGTACATGTCTGTTTCAAAAAAAAAAAAAGATGCATGAAGATGCATGCAACTTCACAACAAGGTCAGCTTGGACATAGGCATGTGTCTGCTCTTTTCATTTCATATAAGGATGCTGTTGGGATTTACGTTGAGCACAGGAATATCCAACTATATTATTTCTAGACAAAATAAAGAGGTACTCACAGTATATCCAGTGATCGTGCTTGCATGCTGCCGAGGCATTCTCCATTGTATACTGAATGCTGTACAATTCAGTGAATCCAGTGTAATATCCAGAGGAGGTCCCAACCTGTCTGCCTCAAAGAAATTATACAGTATAATAAACAGCAGATAAATTGTGTGTCCTTTAAATTCCAAAGCGCGCGCGCGCACGCACACACACACGTCCAAAGCGCGCGTGCACACACACACACACACACACACACACACAAATTCTTTGTGTGTGTATATATTCTATATATACACACATAAATTCTATATATACACACATAAATTCTTGAGTCTTATGTGTTATATTAAATAGCATGTCTCAATTTGGACTGGGCTCCTGTACACAATTATTGTTGTTGTTGTTGATTTGTTGTTGTTGTTGGTTGGGTTTTGGGGATTTTTTAAGATAAAGAAAAAGTAAAAGCTGGACACAACATACTTTACACAAAGTGTAGTTTGGGCCATAGACTACAATCCCACATCCATTCACAGCTGAGAAGTTTTAAGGGAAGGGAAGTCAAAACACTGTTCATAAGACCGGAACAATCTGTTCTGCTCATCCCCAGATTGGTTCATCGTACTGAAAATACCCAACACTATATTGACTACCGGTACGATCAATGTAAAAGGGACATGGTGGCACTGTGGGTTACACCACAGAAGTCTCTGTGCTGCAAGGTCAGAAGACCAGCAGTCGTAAGACCAAATCCACATGACGGAGTGAGCTCCCATCATTTGCCTCAGCTCCTGCCAACAGTTAGAAAGCATGTAAATGCGAGTAAACAAATAGGCACAGTGGGAAGGCAACGGCGTTCCATGTCGTTAGAAAGCATTTAAATGCGAGTAAACAAATAGGCACACAGTGGGAAGGCAACGGCGTTCCATGTCTAGTCACGCTGGCCATGTGACCACGGAAACTATCTTCGGACAAATGCTGGCTCTACGGCTTGGAAACGGGGATGAGCACTGTGCCCTGGAGTCAGACACGACTGGACTAAATGTCAAGGGGAATCTGGCTGTTGAGCCAGATGCATATTAAGGAAAGAACCAAACATCAACAAACCCAGTTATATCTCTTGGTTGTTACCTTAACAGAAATTCCAAGTGAATTCCAGTTTTTCTCATCACATAAAACATTAATTTTAAGAGAAGCCAAAAGCATTCTGATAAAATTAGCAGAATCTCTCGAGGTGACAGCTCCAAAGTATCCCTCATTTTTATCCCTGCTGCTAGTGAAAGCTGGAAACTATAATGACAATAGGCAATGAAAGATGAGCAACCAGAAACCTTTTTTAAAAAAAGACCATATTTTATTCAGTACAGTGAATTTGGGAAGACTGCTGGTCTTCAAACCAGCAGTTCCAGGATAACTGCATAAATACTAAATCCACAATATAGGCTCATCCAACCAGTTACTTACACAAATAATCCAGCTGGATAGCTCAGTGGTTTAGGTATCTGGCTGTTGAGCCAGAAATTGGGAGTCTGATTTCCCCACTGTGCTTCCTGAGAGTAAAATCAGGCTGTGTGGCCTTGGGCAAGCTGCATAATCCCAGGGTACCCTCAGAAGAAGGGAAATAGTATTTCCCTATTGGAAATACTACTGTATTCTCTCTCTGAAATACCTGAAAAAGGGTCACCGTAAGTCAGAATTGACTTGATGGCATATTATTATTATCATTATTATGCAAATGGATGCCACATGCTATTCCTATTTTATATAAAAGGCTGTTACATTTAAATTAGTGATCAATCAAGCCCATAGTTTGAAGCAGAGCATGGAAAAGAAGCTGGATGAAGGTTCAAACTTTCTTATTACAGCTGCTTTTGCCCAGTAAAACTGAAATAATGCACCAGTATTTGATTCTGCCTAATGCTGGCATGGGAACGGAGCTTCCTCTAGACTTCCCCTGCTGGGGGGGAAACATCCGGAGACATTCCAGGGGTACAGTTCCTCACTGAATTGCTATTACTCCAATAATCTTTAAAACCCGATAACCTGCTTCTGAAAAAAATGGGGCAGGGTGATCTGGGGATGGAGATAGAAAACGAGTGCATTTCCCAGAGCCTCTGTAGTTGTCCACCTCTCTCTGCCAGGGTGACCCTCTCAGCTTGGGTGGGAGAAAATATCTAGAGCGCAGTTATCAGAGGAAGTCTCCCAAGGCCATGAGCCCATTCTGGATTTTCAGCTTTCATTCATATTCATTCGTTAATTTATATCCCAACCTAAGTCTACTCTGGGCAGCTAACAACAAATTCATAAAACAACAGTATAAAATAGAACAAAAACATTAATATGATTCAAGATGGCAAACATAAATTAAATAATGACATCTTGTTACCTTACGTATTATATACGCTTACTCAAAACTAAATCCCAATTTAACTGAACCTACTCTTATCTATGTGGATACACAATTGCTGCCTAAACCTGGAATCCTAACTCACAGATGGAGTGGCTGTGGGGTTTGGAATAGGCAGAAGGTCTTCTCTGTCAGCAGAAATCATCTTATCTGGCAGAAATGCTGTTGTGGATACAAATACACTTCTCCCTTCAGCAGCACTGGGGTTAGGAATGCATACAGGGGTAACCTACTCTTATCTATGTGGATACACAATTGCTGCCTAAACCTGGAATCCTAACTCACAGATGGAGTGGCTGTGGGGTTTGGAATAGGCAGAAGGTCTTCTCTGTCAGCAGAAATCATCTTATCTGGCAGAAATGCTGTTGTGGATACAAATACACTTCTCCCTTCAGCAGCACTGGGGTTAGGAATGCATACAGGGGTACTGTATGTATGGTGGCTGTGGGGTTTGGAATAGGCAGAAGCTCTTCTGTCAGCAGAAATCATCTTATGCTGGCAGAAATGCTGTTGTGGCTACAAATACACTTCTCCCTTCAGCAACACTGGGGTTAGGAATGCATACAGGGGTACTGTATGTATGTATGTATGTATGTATGGATGGATGGATGGATGGATGGATGGATGGATGGATGGATGGATGGATGGATGGATGGATGGATGGATGGATGTAATGAAAACAATACATGTATAATCACAACTGCACTGCTTGGACCCATGCATTTCAAGGGAGAAAGTGTACAGATTTCAGAGATCAGCCAACTAAGATTTGTCAAGAGATGAGCCAAAAATGGGGCAGACCAAGGGAGAAACATATTCCAAATGGAAGCTTCTTTCCGGCTAAGAACACAGCCTTAAACCAGCATAAAATCAGGCCAAGGTGAAGGTGGTCCTAAGTAATTTCCAGCATCTCTAGGCTGAAAAAGGTTTGAATGCACCATAACTTCAGCTCATATAATGTTAACTCTGCTGGCCTACAGCCCTTTTGCCTAGCTAGGGCTGTATTTTAAGTATGTAGTCGCTCTTTTACTTGTGGAAATAAAATGAAAAGTGTAAAGCAGGATAGGAAACCACTGACTCTCCAGATGTTCCAGGCTATGACTCCCACATTTCCTGACCACTGTCCTTGGTAGGTAGGGCTTCTAGAAGGCAAATTCCAAAATATATGGTGGGTCAAAGATTCCTTGGGCCAAGAGGAAAGCCACTTCTGTTCTAATATTTATCAAATCCTTATAGTATATTATGAGTGATGCAGCTGCCTTAAGCGGCTGATTTTGGATTAGGGTGCTATGTTTTATGTGCAATCAAATCGCATCTGACTTAGATGTGATTTGATCCTAATAGGGCGTGTGAAATATTTAAGTAATGGCTTTGCCAGTGCCTCCACCACCACCACCATGTGATTTCCCATGGCCAAGTAGAGATTTGAACCCAGTTCTCCTGCATCCTAGCCCATCAGTCTATCCACTATACTACACTGTTTGGATCAAAACAGATAAACTCAAAGGAGAATCGGGCTCTGCCACTTCGCCCATACAGAAGAGGAAATTTCAGCAAGTGTCTCTTGCATGATACTTCTAGCCTGCAACAGCACTGTCTTCTTTTGTACCTGGACACCTTAATGAAAAAAAAAGGCAGAAAACTGTTACCTTTTAATTATTCTTTATTTGATTGTTTACTTTATTTCTCTTCCCAAGGAGAGCTACTTGTGAGGTTTTCTGTCATTGGTGAAAACATAGCCTGTCTGACCTTCAGCCCACTGAACCTTGACTTGCGGGGTGGACACAAATTGCAGCAGAAAATATCCTGGCCTACTCATTGCTACATGAAATAACCTTATTCCAGCCTTCTCATTCTGGCCAATGAATGCAAAGGCACCTGTACCAAGCCAAACAGTACTTGGTCATTCCCTTTTCCCCCTTCCTGTATATAAAATCACATTTTATGCTGTTTGTATTCAATACAGTCACATCTTCGAATCCAATGTCTAACACAGCCTCTTCCTTCAGAAGCTTCTTTACATTCTTATTTTTATTAACCAACAAGAAGTCCCTCACAACAGGCAGAGATCTAGAACTTATATCTTTATACTTCCATATAGGAACATTGCCTGGTTTCTTAAGACTTATTAAGACTTATTCTTAAGACTTATTCCTGGGTTCTACTGCTTGTGATGGCAGTATATCCATCCTCCAAACAGTTCCAATACTTTCTGGCTGGGGACTGGTCACTGATCTTGGTTTGAAGGGATCAAAACAATGCCCAAGACATTGCTTTACTCTCTTGGTTCCTGGCTTCTTGTTCTCTCCACACACTCTCTTTTCTCCTTTCTCTCTCTTCAGTCTTCTTCCCCCAATAAGGGGTTTTTCTCTATACCTGTCTCCTCCACTCCTGCTCAACAGCCTCTCTTGGTACCTTCAACTGGACCCATTCACCAGTCCAGATATCTTCTTGTACATTTTCTACACAATCTTCCTCTTGTTTACTCTTGTCATCTAGTTCTCCCTCAACCTCTAAATACTTCTCCTCTCTTTCTCTCTTCCCTTTCTTTTATACCATTTCCCTTTCCCGCCCAAATGTACTCCTCTGTTGGCAGGTCTTTTCCTGGGCTTTTCAGTTCTTTCTTTTCCAGAGACAACTTCTCCATCGTCGCCTCCAGGACTACTACCTGTTGTT